TAGAGAGTGAAAGTTAGGGTTTCAGGTTACCTCATCCCCTTTTAATAGAACGAAATACCTACTTGAGATACCCAAAATACTCTGGCTAAATTGCAGGAAGTACCCAAAATACCCTGGTCGGTTCGCATTCCATTTACCTCTTAGCCAGCACCAGATTCTTTCTTATCTCTTGGAGATTCATCTTTACTCAGAGGACCTATTGAGATATGCTAAAGTGCCTCTAGCCGTCGGATGCCTCGAGAGTCGAGGCATAAGGAGTCAACCTCGAATGGGAAGAGGTCGACTCGAGATTTTATTCGCAGTAATACATCAGGAGGCTCTCACCACTTCGAATGGTTCTCGTCTCCTCCATGGGATTCGACTTCCAGAAGTCAACTTGCAGAAATCATTAGCAAGCTACCGATTTTCCCGAGGTTAATTCATAACGGAAGTCGACTTGAGGATGTCGACTTGCAGATTCGTTGCCCGATCGAATAATTGGTACTTAGACCGATACATCATAATATGGCTATATCATCAGTCAATCTCGAAATGTTTAGTACACTAATGAAATATTGGGTTAGAAACAATATACAAGGCGACCTTGTTGTCACAATGAAGAGGAACGGGATAGGAATGATCAATACCGAAGCATCCCAAAAGCGACTTCAACCAAGTTAGCTCACAAGTAGTAGAAGCCATAGAGCGGTATTTTGCTTCTACTGAAGAGTGACAGACAGTAGGCTATTTCTTCGTCTTACAAGAGATAGGACAGAATAGGTTTGTCCATAAAATGATATAAAACATGGACTGAATAGGACAAGTCAACAAGATAAATGAGTCTACCCACCAAAAGCCAGTAACAAGCGGAAGTTGATGATTTTTTTCAAGTGGAAAGGAAGTCAACTTAGCTTTTAAGAAGCCAATCTCGGATAAAATATCAAGAGCATACTTCCGATGGCACAAAAAAATTCCAGATGAATTTCGAGCCACCTCCAAACCCAGAAAATATTTTAAAAATCCGAGATCCTTCATATGGAAACATTGGCACAAATAAGCCTCGAATGAAAAGATAGCAAAACTATTATTTCTGGAGATAACTGAATCATCGACATACATAAGAACGTGCAGTTGAACATCATTACGACGCAAGGTGAAAAGAGAATAATCGGCGTAAGATTGACGAAAACCATATTGTCGCAATGCCGTAGCAAGCTTCACAAACCAGCATCTTGGAGCCTGCTTAAGACCATATAACGATCGTTTCAAATGACAAACAAGATCAGAGGATCCAGATCGAAAACTAAGAGGTAATTTCATAGACCTTTTTGTCGAGATCACCGTGCATAAATGCATTATGAATGTCTATCTGATGTAATTCCCACTGTCGGGCTGCAGCAACAGCTAGAAAATTCCGAATGGTCACCATTTTTGCAACAGGAGCAAAAGTCTCAGTATAGTCGATAACTTCGACCTGATTGTTCATAAGAATGACCAAACGCACTTTCTAATGTTCAATGATCTGTCAGAGCGGTGTTTGATATGGTAAACCCATTTGCATCCAATAGTTTTATTACAGGGAGGTGTTGGAACCCATGAGGATCTCGATATGCACAAATCACGGACAAACATTCAACATAAATCTATGCGCAGCGGATCTAAAGGTTTGATGTAGAAAACTTACGGCTTAAAATTTATGTAGATCTGGCTGGCCCGAACAGATGACCGCAAATCAAATCTTCTCGGAATCGAACAAACTTGACCAATCTAGAAAGCTGGCGTCACGGCAAAGTCAACGGCGTTGACCGATCAAAAATCGGAGGGTTCACGCGCTCTCACGCGCGCGTGTAAGTTCCAGCAGCTGGGATCTTCC